TACCTATGTGCAGTTGTAAGACGTATGCTAGGGTGATGTTGAATATGTTATTGTGGCGTAGGCAAAGCTACGTTACAGTCCCCCTCCCACTTCGGCGGACGACAAGTTGCGGTATTCTAGAGTTTTGGCCTGAGGCCTGCACTACCTTAGGGCCAGCCTTAGGTATTATTTACCAGAGTACGTTGTACCCTGGCTCGGTCGGTGTGTGTGGGGGCGGTCTTTTTTTTATTGATTATTATTCATTATTATTATCTAACATTATTATTTTTTTTTTTTTTTTTTGTTGTAATAGGTATATGTGTGTATAATGATATGAGATTGTAATACATGTGCTCATAAATAGGTACAAAGTTAGATTTTTTTTTTGTGTGAATACAAGTATTAGCAAAAAAAAAGAGGAAAACGTGGTTTGTGTTGGTTGGTGGTGGTTTAATCTATATATTCCATGACCTTGGTCCTCCTCTTTGACCGGACGATGGCGTAGTTCGCATCTATCTGTGTGGCGAGCATGCGGTACCCTTTCCACTGAAATCGGCATCGCTCTTTATTGTTTCTCGGTCGTCTTAGCCGCAGCTTTTTGAATGGGTCGAATGTGTCCCCGGTGGCCGTTTCGTCGTTCGTTGTGGCCGGGTCCGCTTTGGATGGTGTTTCGGTGACCCTTGGTTCGGGGGTGATCTCCTGGGCTGGGTTTGTGGTTGCCACGGCTGGCTCGGTGGTGTTGGCGGCTGTTGTCGCCGCGTCGACTGGGCACTCTGACATGGCGACGCGGCGACCCATTTTTGGGGACGATCGTGGAGATATATTTTGTCTCCTTCAACTGATCCAAGATCGCTCCAATCTAGGGTAACGGGTATGCGTCTGGTTCGCTGGCGGCATTGAGCTGGCGGTAATCGATACACATGCGCCAACTTCTTTGCTTTTTCCGAACTAAGACGATGGGGGAGCTGTATGCGCTTTTGGATGGTTCGATCCTTTCCCCCGCAAGGAGCTCGTCCACTTCGGCGTTTATCACCTGCTGCATGGCAGGGTTGTGTGGGTAATAGCGTTGTTTCAGTGGGCCATGATGCCGGAGTGTGATCTCGTGTTCGGCGGCGGTGCTGGGCCCGGTGATTTTGGAGAATCGCTCTCTGTGAGTTTCCAAAAAAATCGGCTAGTGTTTTATTTTGTTCCTCGTTCAAGTGTGCCCTTTCAATTAGGCTGCATAGCGCGTGTGTAGTATCGAGTCTCGGCGGTGGGGCGGGAGCTAGTGGCTGGTTGTCTAGTGACACGACGATGCCACGCTTTGCCAGGAAATCCATTCCCAATATCATTTTTTCAGCCAGATTGGGGATGACGGCCACCAGTGTGTTGCTTGGTCGTTGTATTTAATTTGGACAGGATAGGTATGGGTGCTTGCGACGCACGTTTGGTCGGCTAGCTGCACGTTTCGTTTGTTAGGATGTGGCTGAATATTGCGCTGTTCCAATTGCTTGCGTAGATATCCGTTGATGTATGTTAAGGTGGCTCCAGTGTCGATTAGGGCTCGGATGTTCATGCCTTCGACCAGGACGTTCGCATAGAAGCGGCCATCGGGGCCTTGCCAGCCTGGTTGAGACGTGGTTGGTTGATCGGTGGGTGACTTTAAGATGGCTGTCCTCTCCTCGTGACACGGGCAATTCCTGGAGAGGGTTCCATCTCGTCCGCATCGTGAGCAGAATAGTCGCCTCCGACCTCTACACTGGAATCGGCGGTGTCCGCGCTTTTTGCACCTCCAGCAGGTGTTCTTCGCATCGTATCGTTCGAGTGGAGTGGATAGGCAGTGTGCTGCTTGCCTGGTTTGCCTGGCCTCCTCGCTTTTGAGCAGCTCATATTCGTCGGTGAGTTCCATTAATTCTTCGATAGTATGGAACTCGCCCCGTTTTATGAATAATGGGTACTCCACTCGCAAGCCTTCGTAGATGCGCTCCAATTGGTCGTCGCTGCACATCGTTGGGTGCTGTCGGATCAGCGTTTGGAGGGCTAGGATGTAATCCTTGGCCTTCTCTCGGCTCTGCTGTCTCCGCTGGCAAATAGCGTCTTCCAGCTGACTGACGTGTCGACGGGGAAGGAAGAATCGCTCAACTTCGGTGCGGAATATAGCCCAGGTGGTTATGTGTGGCCTTCGGACGCGGAACCATTGTAGTGCTCTGCCGCGGAGTATTTCGGATAAGGTTGGGAGGAGTTGGTCTGGCGTGATTTGGTAGCATTCCGCCAGCTCCTCAATCCTCTCCAAGAAGTCGTGCAGAGTGTCGCCACCGGAGTAGTGAACATCCCAACGGCGGACGGTGCTCACTACCTCGGCGCTGCTGATATGGTCTCGTTTCTGGGCGGTTGGCTTTGCCCCCTCGGTGTGCAAGAGAGAGTCACCAAGCTTAATTGCCGGAGTTAGTTCGTGTGGTGATTTCACCATGCTAGCGTCATCGGCAGCGATCTCCATCTCCAGTTCTCTGAGCAGGTTTTCGGTTGATTTCCGGTTTCTCTTTGCCCTGACGAAGTTACTGAGAGTGCTGCGCAGATCGGCGACGGTGCTCCCTTCAACGGGTATATGATGCCTCTTGCATTCTTCCACCAATCTCTCTTTCTTCAATAGATATATCCAGCCAAGAGAGTCAGTGTTTAGTGTGGTGGTATCATTTTCGCTCATCCGTGTGTCATTTACTTGTCGTGGTGTGTTCGATGAACCCGCTTCCGCAGTGTTGGTGCTTGTTGAGGTTTTTGCACATGCGCCTGCAGAGCTGGGTCCCTGCTCG